GGTTTGGTTTTTGTGCTTTTTAAATAATTATCAAAGTCGCTGGTCAAATAATTTAAAAACCTGAATAGCTTTTTTTCCTAAAAGATGTAATCCAAAATACCACCTACTCTTTCAATGCAAGCATCAATCACCAGTAGCCAAGTTGGAATCAGAATAAAAATGCACTGTTCTACAGACACTAACTTAAATTCACTGAAACAAGTACTGACCAAGTTAAACAAGCAATAAAAGTGGTGGTTTGGGGGTACTGACTGATAGATGAGTTCCTCATTTGTTCTGGAGGGCTCAGGGCAGCATTTAAACAGTTTTGTTTCTGTTTTCTTCATTTTGAAATGAAACCTTTTTTCTCCCTCTGTCTGTCTTACCTGTTGATGTAACTGGTGTTGCATGAGAAATTACCTCATTTCAATGGCTACAGCCAGTTTTTCTATCATCAGCTGCAGTAAGGTTTCCTCATTTATTTAATGAGCCTGGATAGGTAGGAAATTAAGTATTAGGAGCTGCAGATGAAGAAAACTAAACCAGAATTTTCTGTTTATTAGCGTGGTTTAAAAAAAAAATCTGTATTAATATAGGCAGTATATATAATTGGTATTTGGATTGTGGCATGATTATTACTTTGCAGACAGGGGACTCCGTTATCACTCAGTCACCAACGAAGTAGCTGCATTCTGTGCTCATCTCATCTCTCAAGCTGAAAGAAGAGCTAGTTATTATCTTCAAGTGGGGTTATTAATGAGGGGAAAAATCATCCCCAATTACTGTGAAGCAAAATATTTCAACATTTACATATCTGAGACTTTACTTTTGATCTAGTTCTTCATGAGTTTTTAAGCTCAGACTGTGTTCACTTTTCCAAACGTTCCCACAGCAACATAGCGAGGGGAATTTGCACCTGTCCAAGTGCTGGCTCCCCCAAGTGTGTGCTTCAGGGTCACAGAAACGCTGCCTGTCCTATCCTTGTGCTGCCAGAGACTGATTGCTGCTGAGATTCCTTCATGCTACACCGTAGGAACAGAGTCTCAAGCATAGGCTTCGCTAAAGAAGTAAGAAATTCTGACCTGCGTATACTGTCTATGTTCACAGTTCTTTTTTTCTTAACTAGAAACAGCCTGGGATTTATTTGAAAGAGCTAACTTCACTCTTTTGCTTTTTTTTGAACATGGTATTGATCCTTGTGAAATTAATGGTTTGGAAGTTTTGACTCCGAACCTCCTAGAATAAAACCTGAGCAACACAAAGGTGATGATTTAAATTCAGGTAAACATGTGGGCAGTAACCAGGAGATGGGAAAAGTGCTGTCCATACTGTGAATCCATCCATCAACACAGATGTGAAGGTCTGACCTTGGCAGGTTCAGGAGGTAGGGACGTCAAACACAGTTTGCAGTCAATTGGAAATGTAGCTACTAGACAAAGAAAACTCAATAATTACACAGCTGTTTCAGAAGATTACAGATTTCCTAGAAAACAATAAAACAGCCGTCTGTGAATGGAAAAAGTAAACCATCTTTTTTTTCATTCAAAAACTTAATTCCTGAAAGTCATCAGATATGTCCTCTGTAAACTTCTTATCTCTTTTCAAAACCCACGGAGTCTGTAACCAATCGGTGTAGATTTCTCTACGGCATTTACGCCCATTAATGCTTCATTGATTTATAGTGAAACTGCTGAAGAAAGGACTGTCTCGGACAGCCGTATAAATATTAAATTAATTTTTTGTGAAGGATGGCTGCTATTACACTAAATATTAAATGAATTCATAATACTTGGACATTTGCAATAAGTCACTACTGGGACTGCATACTAACATCCCATTCCAAATCTTTTCTTTTTTTTTTTTAATGTTACAGCCATGGAAAAGGACGGGTTGCTCTCAAAGAAATGTACAGCTTTGTAAAACTGAAGTCATTAGCGAATTCCCGTGGCACAAGGAGGAGTTTTAACTTAGTCCCATTTTACAGATGTGGGGAGGAGGCATGAAGGGGTTTAGGTTGAACTGCTGATCACAGGAGGTTCAAACCCAATCTGTTTCTCATGAGAGACATCACAGTAAATTATCAGCTCCTGACAGTCTTTGTTTTGCTTGAAGTGCTCTGAGCAGCATCGCCAGAGGATCTGGCAATGTGATACCAGAAGGCTGAGAGCATTTGCCAGACTCAAAGGGAGAAAGAGCTGGATGTAATGTCTAATCTCCAGGCACCCGAAGTGGTTAGTATCAGTCACCTCTAAATATCTTGCCCAAGGCCACGATGGGAAGGATGGGACTCCTCAGGTTTTGACTAGTAGGACTAGGCTTAGCAATTGAAGTAAGTCATCGTCTCTCTTTAGAGAACAGAGATCTTAGTCTCAAAAGTTTAGTAAAATGCTCAGTGGACTAAGAAGGGCTAAAAATCAATTCTTTATTTTTCCTTTTGTTAACGTAGAACAAAGGGTACATAAGCAAGTTCATTATAGCTCTCTGTTATCTGAGGGATAGTAGCTTGAGTGTAGAAATTTATGCTAGGGCTAACCATGTAGAGTGGAAGCTGTTCTTGTAAACAAAATTGAATGACTGTCAGACTCATCTGCTTTTTGAGGTGCAGACGTGTGTGAATATATGCATCTCCTTCTTTCCAACGGTTTTTGCTTCTATGCCTTAAATGGTCTAAGTCACACAAGGTTTTACTAATGAAAATTTGCCAAGGTATTTAAATTAGAAGCAAAAATTAGAAAAGCTGCTACCACATAGGAATATTAATTGTTCATTATACAGGGCTTTAGTTCACATAGTTACTTTGCATGTGCAAAGCTGCCAATTAAAGAGGCTCAAAGTGCTCACTGCTGCACAATAGCCGTTTCTCCAGAGCCCCACAATGGCCATTGTATTCTGTCACTGACCTTTAGACACCTTCAAATGCATATTGACACAGTATGCTGGGATCATTAGAGCTATTGTTTCAGTGCGCCACAGGGAAAGGAGAGTTTTGCAATTTGGTGAAGAGCTTTAAAATTTGATATCATGATGACAGCAGCGATATTTCTTAATTAGAGAGTGAGAGAATTACTGAAGTATTTTTCTGGTGCTTCAGGTGAATTCCAGCATGCACACCTACCACAGTTCCCACAACAATCCCTTCCCATTGGGGAAAGAAGATGTTTATCGGGGGCATTTTCTCTGCTTTTCTATTGTTTCCAGGGGAGTTTATTTAGTATTTTTGACCTGATGGTGCCATATGGCCAGCCTCCCTTCGCTTCCATGGATTCTGCCTGGATGAACATCTTGGCAGGATGGATCCTTTCATCCTGTAAGTGACAAATGCCCTTTTAAACACAGCTTATAGTTGGAACCTGGTATGCAGGAGACTGGGATCTGGAAGCATAGTTCAGACTCTGCTCTTCAAAAATCAGTGGACCTTGTCTCTGTGATAACAACTGTGCTTCATTTTAGCTCTTCCATGTCTTAACATCTAAGGTTTTTCTGTTTTCTTACTGGTCTGTGACAGCTAAAGAGTGCAAACAAGAACTTTGGGAGCAGAGATATCAGATACTCTAAGTACATTTATGGTAGTAAATCCAAGCATCTTCTAAAAGCTTGTATTTATTTTATTGTAGCCCACCTATTCTTTAAAGTTGCTTTGAGAAATTACTTCAGCAGTCAGCACATAAAAGAGCATCATTTTAAACCTTGCATGGGACATTTTGTCTACAGAGAATAAATAAATTACTGGCTCGTCTTTCCAAAGAGTGTTCCTGCTTGAAGACAGAGAGATAGTTTCTGTTCCATAAGTGTTGCAGTTGCCGGGTTCGTTTTTATCCCCTGGGATCCTATTATAGAACAAATTATCAACTATAGCTAAACTTCACAGCCCTGAGTCTCTGAAGATAGTCTTGGGTAATGGCTTGCACTTCTGACAGAAGAGGAAGAAATCTAACAGACCTTTTGCAAAACTTCTTGTGTCATTAAAAAAAATGGAAAATTTACCGCACGCCATTGCTGGTTGCAAGTCCAGCCTAGCGCTGTGCCAGTTTCTGCACACAATACCTCTACCCAAAAACCTTTCTAGCTGAAGTACATAATATTTGTTATTTGTGTATGCTTGAGGTAAATGTGCAGCAGGATTTCTCACACCGTTATAAAACCCACAAGGTCAGATGCGTTTCTTCAGGCAGAACTTTTTTTTCCACATTAATTGAAAGGGTGATGTTATCTTGTTTTCGTTCCTCCGTATCAGAAACCCTTGTAGAACTTTGAAACCTCCCGTGAACTGCCACTGCAATTGCCAGTTGTGAATTTTGTGGTCTATCTTCAAACATCAAGGTGATACCTTTATCTTAACACATGAGAAGAAGTGACCCACTTCTGGGAGGGAGACGCGAATAGGTACAGCTGTGTGATGATGCAGGATGTGAAGCGGGGCATGTGCTGGAAAGAGCTATTAAACCACTGTCTTCTGCCTCCGTTCTCCCTACAGTAAATCTGCATCAGATAGTAAACGAGGCAGTAATGATGAGCGATTCTCTTGCAATGGGCTGGGATCTGAAATCTCTCCTCAGACCCTTCTGCTTCCCAGCAGAGGTTTTTAGCCATAGGGCCTGATTTGTTACTTTTGGGGAGTTTCTCTATTGAGGGACAGGATTCTCCTGGACAAGATCACTTCGATTGCTGCCTTCTCTGCATGGGAAGTTTGTAGCTTTACAAACTTCAGAGTTACAGCTCCCACTGTAACTGCACTATTTCGTGCAAAAGGCACATGATGACTGCCTGGGTGGATTTGAAAATTGAGATAATCGTTGCAATATGTTAGGGCCTTACTCTGCTGAGCAAGTTGAAGCCCTGTTGGATGTGGAGGGTTTTTCACAGGATCTTTATTATCGAAAGCTCAAGTTCTACATGGATCCACATCTAGTCATGGCAGTTTTGGGAGGTTTCCTGCCACACACATTGAGATTTTCCTAAAGAAAAACAAAGGGAGTTTGTATGTCTGCTCATTGCCCATATTTCGTTTGGTTCCTTTGCAGAAGGAGAAGAAGAGCGGGCTGCTGAAACTTCTAGCAGGAGCATCAACAAAAAAGAAGTCACGCTCCCCACCGTCCGTGTCCCCCACACACGACCCCCAGGCAGCCATCGAAGGAGTCCTGCAAGGGGCGGTGGGACCTGAGCTCTCCTCCCTCCCCAGCCACGGCAGGGCCGGCTCGTGCCCTATCGAGAGTGAAATGCAGGGAGCCATGGGGCTGGAGCCTCTGCACAGGAAAACAGGCTCCTTGGATTTGAATTTTTCCATCCCTTCTCCTGCCAGGCAGCCCCTCTCTTCCATGGCAGCTATTCGGCCAGAGCCCAAGCCTTTGCCCCGGGAAAGGTAAGCTGTGTATCTCCCAAGGTCACCTGCATCCTCAGGGAGCATTTGGAGGAGGGCTGCAAGCTTAACTTACTCAAGGGTTGTTGCAGTTTTGCCGCCCTGTGGATTGACTGTAGGTGGCTCAGCCGTCTTTTAGGAAGACAGGGCTTACATGCATCTGTGTATTGAATATCTTTTGACACACTGTGCAGGTTTAATGTTCGTTGATTAAAAAAGTGGTAAGCAGCACCTGTCCATGACACCGTACAGCCCTGTCTAAATATGGAGGACAGCAGTGCTTTCTCAGCCCAAAGGCTGTAAATGCTGTTAGCAAAGGTCACTTTTTAAGTGGGATCCCTATGTTTTAATAAACTTATGGAGTTGTCGTGGCACTTCCTGCCTGGGGGTGACAGGGTGATGTGTTTGCTCATCAAGGCCCTTTCTGGCCTCTTCTGCAACACCAAAGACTGTTTCAAATTCTCCTTGTTTAGGATAATTACAGGTAGTGCCATCTTCAGTGGCCTGTTACCAAAACTGTAGCTCATTTCTAGAGAGGAGTGTACCAGTGATTCTGGAGCTCATTTCAGCAGGCTGCTCTGCGCCTTGGTACCTTAGAGTAACTGACCTTGCAAATCCGAAAAGAGTAGAATAGGAACACGAAAATACAAAAGCAGATGGAGAGAGAGAGAACTGACTAGAAACACCAGTACAGAAAAGAGCTAGGTTTCCATGTGCAAAGTCATATTGGCTTCAGGTAAATATTTTCTACAGGACTGCAGTTTGAGGACTGGGAAGGGAACAGATAATGCACTGATACGATGCTATTGAAATGCTTTCCACTCAAAAAGTGATTGAGGAGAACATGTTTTTTTACAAAAGCATCGAAGAGTTTTCAAAAAGCAGTTTAGGGAACTCTCTGGAGTTGATATTTAAAACAATTTTGGAACAACAGTAAAGTTCAAGAAGTTTGAAAGAAACTATTTTTGTCTGAGTATATGAAAGAGGCTGAAGGGAACGAACTGGGCAAGCCACCTGACCCTGAATCCAGTTGGGGTCATGGAGCAGATGATGCAGAGCATAATAAGGGATACTACAGGAGAGTTCATACCTTACACAGTGTTTTACTGAATGCAGGTTGAAATTTGGTTGGGAAGGTAACAATGACACTGTAACATATTTAAACTTTCCTAAGGCATGTGGTTTGTTGCCATAAAATGTCTTGCTGAGTAAACTGTACACAACAAACACAGCAGATACTCAGTGGATTGAAAACTGATTCACTGGCATCAAAGCTAACTCTAGATCAGAAATCACTAGAAAATGATTGTGTGTGTATGTATGTAGTATAGCGCAAAGAGAGTTGGGTCTTGGACCTGCACTGTCCAACATAAAGTCTTTGCTGGTGCAGAACGGAGGACTGAAGTGGGAGGTAGGTGATGAAGAGGGCAGACCCGTTGGTACAGAGCTAATTCAACGCATTGGTAAGGAGAACACAGAGTAACAGTATATTTCAGAAGAGCCAAATCTGAGGCAAAGTGGAGTGGCCTCAGAGAAGCATCATAAGAACGGTGGAAGATTTAAAACAATATACTTGCAGTGAGTGATACAGGGAGCTCTGGTACATCTGGTAAAGAGCAGGCTTAGGAATGGCTTGGTAACAGTCTGTAAGAGATTGCAGACAGGACAGACATGGGAATATTTTTAGTCTAGATTGGTCATTTTGTCTAAAAGAGATGCTGTTGTTGAAGCGCAGCTATTAGGCTTGAAGCAGAAATAAATACAGGCAAGTCCTTCAGCATTGTAACGAAGGCAGTGAGAGCAGACTGTCACAGTAGTCTCTTGTCCTTAAAATCCATGAAAAAGCAATTTAGTAAAAGGAGTGAGAAACCAGTCCCTATTTAGGTGCACTTAATTTGGTCTACATCAGTTTAAATTAATGCTATAAGAAAAGCTAAACCAATATAAACCAGATTTAGCACCAGTGTAACTAAATCAGTGGAATACTGCACCTTTACTTAAATGTAGCCATGAAAAGAAGCCAAGAAGAACATCTCCTGACGTCTCCAGAGCTGGCTGTTGAGGTGCTGCTCTCAAAGCTTTACTGTAGAGAAGTCCAGACACATTATTTAATATGCCAGGGATAGTCCCATATCCTACAAATTTCTCAGTTCACCTCAGGATGATCCGGATAGTGAAACATTTAACTGATGACAATTTTAAGTGGCAGAATAGAACCAGAGGGACATGGATTAGCTGTGTCTGCTCAGCCGTGCTGGAATCAGGAGTAAATACATTTAGATGGCTAAAACTGAGTAAATACTTCCAATTGCAGTATATGGTGGCAAGGAACTTACTCTGATTTTAAGCATTTTAATTCCTGAGTCTTAAATCCGAAAATAAGCTATAATTGAAGTAACCCTAATTATACACAGCAGGCAAGATTCTCTAATTGATTTATGAATTAACTTCCATATCATTGGTGTATCTGCATTCCTTAACTGATCATATGGGTTTTTTCATGCCCATAATGGGAAATATTAATTACCTCCATGCACTATGAAGGATAATGCTTAGTCCTGGAATGATCTGAGCAGATACATTAAACACTTGTCTCCTAGAAATTCATCCCACATCCATCTGTGCTCATTAAATCATCAAATTGCTCAGAAGTACCAAATTATACTTTTTTTTTCAACAAATCACGGTTTTCAAACCACTTGTTCTTTTCACATCTGGCAATGGAGGAATTCGCATTCGACGTCACTCAGCTCTGTATTTTGCTTGTTTGCATTTTGGTGCATTTCATCCGCACAGTAGGAGCAATTCTCTGAGAAAGAAAAGGGAGGAGAGGGAAAAAAAGGTTAGATAAACAGATTCAGATGCTGGACGAAATTTTGAAAAGCTGCAAAGCATTTCAGTGCACTTAGCTGTACTTGGCTTTCTGTCTCCCAACGCCCATCTGTGCGCACAGAGACAGAGCACTGAAAGGTTGGAAGAAGCAGCACATTCCTTAATATTTACGGCATTCGAAATGAGGCTCATGCAGGCAGCAGAGCATCGCTACTTCTCCCATAGCGGTCGGCTTGCAGCTCCAGCACTTGCCACATCCAGGCTACTGATCAAACCCGAGTGGTCATGCCACTAGCCTTTTTGGAGGTCCATTAAAAAGCTGTGATTGCTCGCGGCTTGACGGTCACTACTTAAGGGAAGAATTGCCTATTCTGCTGCCTGGCAGCGCAGCCCTTCGTCAGAATTGCAGCCAGTCAAACAAGAAGGTGAAGGGAGCTTTGCCCTCTCGGAGATGCTGCTAATGTTTATGCTTTCGTTCATTTTTTGTGCATGGGGAGAGTGAGGGAAACAATTATTTTGTCTTATCCTACTTGATAATCCAAAACGTGGTTAAGGATGCCTGGATTAGAAAGGAAATTGCTTCTAGCTCTCCTGTCATTTAGCCTTGACATGTAACTGGTTTGCTGGGATAGTTAGTGCCCATCTCTGCCTTCTGGGTGTAGTTTCCCACTACTGGTTTATAAAACCACCTTCCTTCAGCTGCTCTCTGCCATAAAGCATCCAGCAGTCCGAGCAGCAGAGTGGAGAAATTTCCCAGGTGTTGTCCTTGTCATTTTGTGTTGCCCTTGTCATTTTGTGTTGCCCTTGTCATTTTGTGTTGCAGTGATTGACTGTCAAGTGACTGCCCCATCAGGCTGCGTGTGCCCCACAGCCTCTTTTCCACCTGCTGCTCCATCCAATTTCTGCTGGTGCAAGAACCAGGACCTGTACAGGGATGCGCCTTGGTCAGGCAGAGCCTGGGCCACAGACTTGCCCACATCCCACTGACGCTGTCAGTTCACGTGGGAGAGGGGTGTGCTGTCTGCCTAGCAGTGCCTAAGCAAAATACTTTCCTTGCCACCCCCTTCAAGAAAATATGACTGTACATTAAGCAAAACAGGAGAGCTGAGCGTGCGTGTGTGTGTGCGTGAGTCATGTTCCCCTTGCTGCCTGGCACTGTTCCCAGATGCAAACCTGAGTAAAACATGTCACGCATTGTTGACTCTTTTATAGTAACTGGCACTAATTCTGCAATGTTATATTCTGATAAAGCGGTCGTATCCAGACTTACTGTCACGACTGGCAGATCTGTGCCATGTTTCTATGGTTTTCGTGGAGCATTCAAGCAAGTTGTAACTACAACAGTGCTGCAGAGTAAGATGGGAGCAGTCTTTAAAATAGACGCCTCTGTGTTTCCATGTATCCTTTCTACAAATCACTGCCATGTTAGAAATTGAGCTCCCAATTCAAGGAAGCATTCAAGCATGTGCTTAATGCCCATTGACTTCAATTTTGCTGCGCACTTCAATTTTGCTGGCACTTCTTTGCCAAAAGGGAAAGCAAAGGACAGGGTTTTCCTTTCCTGGAAAGTGATACTAGAGAAATGACCCCAGGAGTAATTTCTGACTGAACAGGGACATGTATGCACATGGTTAAGTGCTTCTCTGACTAGGAATACCTGCCTTAGGACTGAGAAACTAGAATTAACTCTCTCAGAAACTGAATCCTGCAATATTTCCAGCAGAAGGGTAAAAGATCCAACTGAGATTTGTTCTTCTAAGGCTGCTGATTCAGACACCGTAATATGGTGAAGCGGGTTCTGGCTTGTAGCATGCAGAGGCACTTTGCAGGTCTCTGCAGTCTGCCACTAAAAGCATGGAGAAATAGAGCTCCACCGGTAAGCAGGAGCAGTGGTTAACTGGGCTAGATGTCTCATTTTCACCAAGTATCTATCCCACACAAAACTAACTGTGCAACCCTAACACACAAGGGACCTGTTGGAGTCACAGGACTGGACTCCTGAAACCTGTCCTGAGTGCATGATACTTTGACAAACAGAAACCTGCATTAAGCATCCGAACTCAAGCACTCTGAATGGGACTGGATTGGAGGTTAGCCCTGCAGACCTAATTTGCCTCATTGTACATCTGTTTTCCTAAGTTTCTCTGGCTCCACCAGTGTCCTGGGTGCAC